TGGTTCTAGATTGTGTCAAGAACATTTCACACTAACCAGTCATCTTCTTCTTTCATTACCATTACCTTCAGGAAACATCTGACCTTGACAAATGTCTTAGAAGTTAGCCTTTCAGGAACTGGATATTGGGATGACAGGCTAAATAAACCAAGTTGTCCAGGATCTGATCCTCAGATCTTGGGACAAACAAACAGCTCCTTTCTAAGACAACAGGAAATTTGTGAGCTGAGTTAATTAGGAACTTATGCTTGGGGAGACTCTCCTGGATTATTCAGGTGATCCCTCAATGTGACTCCTCCCACTCCCAACCCCTCTGCCCCCTGCCAAAGCATCCTTATGTGGAATATAGAGAGATCAGATACCAGACAGAGGGCAAGGTGAAGATGGCGAGATGGAGGTTTGAAGATGTTGTATTACTGGTCTAAATGATCAGAGATGGTCCATGAGCCAGCAGGCACAGAGAGTGTATCACCAGAATTAGAAAAGCAAACCACCGTTTTCTTCCTAGAGCCTCTTGAAGTCTCTTCAAATGGTGCTTCTCCACTGACTCCTTGGTTTTGGCTGATAGAGACCCATGCAAAACTTTCTGACCTCCAGAACTGTTGGAGAATGCATGGTATTTTGAGCTCCCCCCACACACATATTTGTGGTGGTTTGTTTAATCAGTAGATGGGAAACTAAACAGTCAAATGCAGAACGGCTCTGAGAAAATATTTGGTCAGGTTAGGGCTAGTGAAATTCTGAGATGTTAATAAGGCTATCAATTTCATGTTACTAACTAGATGCTCCTGGAATACCAGGGTTCCCCTGTACCATGGAAACAAAGGCCAAAGGAAGTCTGTTGAATCATATGGGTTGAACCTATACACATCATGCGGGATAACACTACTGAAACCCCAGGAAATTAGAGAACTGGAAGTATTTAATGAGCCTGGTGAGTTCTATAAAAAGACAAGGGTTTCATGAGGTAGGCAGAGCAACTGTCACCCCACTACAGGCCACTCAATTATACGACTCAAGAAAATCTCAGCGAATCCATTCAGGCAAGATCCCAGTCCTGTGGTTTGAAGCCACAAAACCTCTGTGGTTTGTAGGCTACATGGAAACTTTGGAATCTATCCTCACATTTTTCTGCAGCCCCAAATATTTCTCTAGTATTTTAGTGTGCAAAATAGATCCAAGTGAAAATTGTGAATGAGCCAATGTCTTTCAGGGAGCCTTCGTAACTCAGCTCACAGTCTGCCAGTAGTGAACCACTGACCCACTTTCAGAAGATACAGTTCTGTTCACAAACCAGCCGCAGAGTTAAGTGAGTGCTGATCTTAGAGTCAAGAGTTTAATGTCATCTGATCAAGCATGGGAAGACAATTTGGAAGAAAGTTTAAATGTTGGATTAAAGGGAGAATGTCAAGTAAGCATTAAGCCTAATCCTTAGAGTGCCCTTGAACTTAGAAATGTAACACTCACCATTCTCTTCTGAGAATTTTCTAATCTGTTATTTCTATTTTCCTTCCACCTCCTGCCTCCCTTAACTCTCTATGGTCCAACAAAGAAAGGCAGCAGAGGTTGCTGAGTTTAAGACAGCACAAACTGGTTAGATGACCCCTAATTTGTCCCATAGTTTAGAGCACAGGACAGCACTTATTTTTCAGCCCCACCCCAGGATGTAAAATTTAGAACTCTACAAATACAAATGTTCTCCTAAGGAATTGCATGTACACTGAAATTAAATGGTTAGAAAGAGCTAGAGCTGGATGGAACGCAAATGTCGTTATTCTTGGATGTAGATGAAGGCATTGAGATACTGTGATAAAAGACAATTCAGGAAAGCAGACAAGCATGAAATCCCTGGAACGTTAGATAGCACCCGTTTGCATCTCTGACCCCCACTATGAGCTGTGTAGCTTGGGTCCAGATACTTAATTTTTAAAATGTGATGAAGATAATGATAATAACTACCTCCTTGGGCTATTTTGGAAAACAGTATACATGACATATGTAAGAGTGCTTAGTACATGGGAAATATTAGATGTGCAATATCAGCTATTTTCGACGACCTTGAGGTCGCTACAAAATTTGAATATGCATAGAAATACTTTATTAAGGTGTGATTTATCTTATTTTGGCTTGAAAATTCATGGCTAAAGGGGAAAACTAATCAGACATAGTAAACATGGAACAGGCTACTAAACAAATACTTACTGATGTAAGATATATGCAAATTGTATTATTATTGTGAAAAGGTGCTTATATTTTGAGTATCAAGTGGATCAAGGGGTAGAGAAAAAAAATCCTCTTGTGTCCCAGTGATATGTATTTGCTTGGGAATACTTCCCTAGTTTGACTTTGCTTACTTATTTCCCTCTCTAATGGTTTTTACCAACTGTTTCTTTACTTAAACATTTTAATAGGGTCGGAGAGAAGGCGCTGAACTTCTTGCCATCTAAACCCGAGGACCTGGCTGCAATCCCCCAAACAATGTGAAACCCTGAGTATGCTGTGCTTGCTTGTAATCCCATCACTGAAGAGGTAGAGACGAGCAGATCCCTGGACCTCACTGGTCTGCGCAGCCTGGCTAAGTTGGCAAGATCTAGACCAGTAAGAAACTCTGAGAATGACAACAGAATCTACCCTGGCCTCAATACATGTTCACATGTATGTGCAGTGCAGATACATGTACAACCACACAAACACTTTAATGGTTTCCCACCATACTTATGTATAATATTCTTAGTCTAGACAACAAAGTGAGGCTTCTTGTGTAAGCCAGCTAGCTTTATGTCAATTTGACACAAGCTAGAGTCATCTGAAAAGAGGGAAACTCAATTGAGAAAATACCTCCATAAGACCCAGCTGCAAGGCATTGTCTTAATTAGTGATTGATAGGGGAGGGCCCAGATCATTGTGGGTGGGGCCACCCGTGGGATGGTGGTCCTGAGTTCTATAAGAAAGCAGCATGAGCGAGCTCCTCGATGTCCTCTGCATCAGCTCCTGCCTTCAGGTTCCTGTCCTGTTCCTGTCCCGACTTCCTTCACTGATAGACCATAATACAGAAGTGTAAGCCAAATAAACACTGTGGCTTCCCCCTTCTCTCTGACATTGCCTTCCTTCTAGTTTTTTTCTGTCCAGTCTGTTTCATGTGAACTGTTTCCTGCTTGGGTTTCTTTCTGCTCGTCACTGACCTGGAGTCTGGAAAATGGCTTAACTGACCACCTAATCTTAAAGCACCACCCACTCTCCTTCTCAGCACATCAACCTAGAGTGAGTCTCCGCATTGGATTTACCACTGCTGCAGTGAGCTATTCATCCTGACCTCCTGCACCTATAGCGCTGACCATGCCCACTTAGACATGGTCACAGACATGACCGACAGTAGGATTAGGTCTGGAGTCAGGACTCCTGTTTGCTCTCTTGGTTCTGGTGGGGTCGAAGAGAGAAGCCTGGGTGGTTCCTTGGAGCAGGAACTTGCAGTGGTCATCTGTTTCTTGTGTGAGTGCCTTCTCCTCAAATAAAATTATATTAATCTATATTGAGCCTAGTCCAGTGAATCTTGATCCACTCATCCACACACTACTAAATATTGTTCTTGCTCATTTGCTCCTTTTTACCTTGATTTATAGTGTGTGTGTGTGTGTGTGCATTAGTTTTCCCATTCTTTAGAAAGGGAAACCATAATAATAGTGAGTAATCATAAAAGAATAATACCACTAGTTCTGATGAAAGAATAATAATAGCTATTAAAGATCTTTCTTCAAGCTACTTAACAATATCTAGAACTATCTTCATGCACATATTCTTATTTATTTATTAAATAATTCATTTACTCATATATTTACTTAGGATTGAGGATGACACCCCCACCCCCCACCCCTGCTAAGCTACCACATTCCAAGGGTTACAGCCACACCTGTGTACCACCATGCCTGGTGCTGGGAACTGAACTCAGGGCTTGGTGTAAACTCCCCAAGCCCTGGACTGACAGAGCTGCCCCCCACCCACTTATGCGTATGTCCAACCAGACTCCAGACATCTAATCACTGAGTCAATAGTTCCTTGCCATTCAAATTAGACCGATATTCCCACAATGCCTTTGCACAAAGTCATGTTAACCCCCAGTTTGAGGGAATTCCCCAGGACTTCTTTCATGTGTCCTTATGACAAATTGCTTCAACTTGGAAACCCTACACACTTTGTAGCTTCATAATCATTAAGTGGTAGCCCAATGGCCACTACGGAAGTCTACAACCAACAGTGAAAAACCGCAGAACTGACATCGACCAGGGCTGACCAAAGAACTGTGCTCGGCTGTCTCACAGTCACCAGAGGTCCCCAACGAAAACTCAGCTCAAGAACACAGGAAGCCATTTGCAACAATACAGAAATCTTAGTTTACAGTGGTTGGGTTAAGACACATGAGAGACACGGTGGCAAAAACAGGCACCTTATTCTAGAAGATTCTCATATTCCATGAGTTCTTTTCCGTGACGAGGGTCTGTTTTCCCTGCCCTTTAAGTCACTTATACAAACAACCAGAACTCTATGTAGTAGTGGCTGAAAATATTTGTCTGTTTACAATTGTACAAATATAACAAAAAGACCATGGAGGGAAGTGGGAGTATCCAGAATGCTTTAACTTTTCTCTCATTTTAAGACTCTTTTTCCCCCATCACAAGTGACCAATTAGATTCATAATCAACAGCAAAGAGAAAGCCAGAAGAATCAAACTAGAAATAGCCACACAGTCAACACCCCTAGTAAACCACTCTGAAAAAAAAAACGTGTTAATCTGTGTTATATAGGAGCATCTTAGAATAAAATATCAACTGTCACCAGAGACCACCCAAACATCGATAATCCAAATGCTTAAGACATTCCCACCGCCCAACGGTTTTACCCAAGGGCAGTGTATGTGTAGGAAAAGGGCCCATTTCACAGAAGGACCACCTTGAAACCTAAGTGTGCCGAGCGAGCATCTGAATGCAGAGATGCGGGGTACTTACCGCAGGGTGGCCAGCGCAGTAGGTGTAGCTGGCATGAGACTGGTAGTACAAGCTTGCTCTTGGGAAGGAGTACGTGTTCCAGGCAGGCTGGCTGCTGCTCCATTGGGAGCTGAAGCCAGGGCTCATGGTCACTCGGGACTTGCTAGTTTGATAGGCTCTCACTGTCGAGTTAGACTGTGGGGGAGAAAGGCGTGATGTAAGGACAACCGTGTTCAAACACAGCCAGCTATACAGCATCATGCATTCTGTGTGGACAGGGCAGACGACTCAGCTAGCCATGGAAATGGCCGCTGGCTGTGGAGAAAACACTGAATACTCTTTTGGTTGGGATTAAAGCTTTTCCCCTGTATTGTAGTTTTGCCTGGATCACCAAGCACATAGCCCCATCGATACTGATCTCATCAAAGCCACCCCCTTAGCTACAACACGCAAGTCTGTCCTTTAGAAATGAGTGATGCTTTGGTAACAGCAGCATCCCTACCTTCAATTACTGAAATGACCTTCCGCACAGTGGTCACCTTGGAAGTTCACCATGAGTCTCAGTCTCATGGGGTAATTCAGAATTTTATTATGAGGATCAGCCTGAAACACAGACTGGTACCCAACTCTAAATGGTCTTCATAGTCCAAGGGTCTATTGCTCTCCCGGGGAGACATGAGCAGGAGTCTGCATGCACTCCAGTAGCTCACTATCATGCCTCCTTGAGATATGACATGGCACAGGGTTTGAAATGGTCATTTATACCCAAACCTGCTTGATGTCACTGAAAATGGAAGAAGTGCAAAATGTTAATTTCCCAGATGTCAAGCAGATTGGTCTGATCACAATGGCATATAGGGTAAAATATATTGAAAACAAAAGTCCCTTGTTATCTCCTTTGTCCTCGGATAGCCACAGCACAGGAGGCATATAATAGTTTCTTTTCAGAGAACATTTTCTATCATCAGATTGTGAGAACCACTTATCCCAGGAGCACAGTGACTTCCACAATAAATTCTATTTATAAACCCATGGTGCTTGCCAACTCAATCACTGGGAAAATGTGCTAATCGTATTGCTATTATATTCTGGAAACCCAGTGGGAAAGAAACTTGCATCCAAGATCCCTAGTTCCTGTTTTGTTAGGTTCTGATATCAGACACCTTGATTAACAACTTTTCTGAGGCTAGATCTTACCATCTTGGGATAGCTAGACCTGGAAAGCAAGCCTGTCTTTTAAAGAGGAAACTGAAATTTTAATCCACAGATGAATGAATCCATTTAAACTACAAAACCATGGTACAGGTTATGAAGTCAATCAATCATATCTGGTTGTTCATGCTTCTCCATACCTTCCACCCATCATCGTGATAGCCACCCGTGTGGTCCACAGAGGTCAAAATCAACAAGAAATGCAGACACATTCATAGGAAGTATTTACCAAGGGAATGGGTGACAGCTTAGTCAATAAAGAGCTTAGCACACAAGCATGAGGGTCTAAGTCTCGATTTCCAGGACACACACACAAGTTAGGTGCAGAGACAGGATCCCACCACTAAACTTCCCACGGGCCCCGCACCATTTCACTTCCCGTCCCCTGAAAATCACCACCCTCATGAACTCAGAGACTCCCCTGTGACTCGGCCCTGTAATCGCATGGCTAGGTTCCTGTCTTCATGTGAACACAAGTCAGAAACTGGATACTTCATGTACAAGGAGTTTGTGGCTCTCCTCCTCTCCTAGCTCACTAACGACAGTCATTCTCTTGGGGGCTTCACGGCAGGCATGGTGGTCTTTTTCCTCCACATCCTGTTCCCCATCTGTTGTAACATGCCCACTCAAGCTGTGTCTCCTATCTTGTGTCATTTCTTTTATTTATCCTGTGTGTGTGCACATGCCCATGTACACACACACACACACACACACACACACACACACACACACACACACACAAAGAGAGAGCAGTTACATAGTTTACTCTCTTAAATTCCCTTCCCCAGTTGTAAACTATCTGCTAGATAGAATATATAACTGCTGGTTTCCCAAAGGGAACCAAAAGTTAAATTATCCTGCACAAAAGTTAAATGGGTTAATTGTTTCACTCTAAACTTTTATCTTCCCTATAACTAACTTGTAAAAAGTATCACAGGTACATTTTGAAACCAACTGCCTGGAAGTCTTAGCAATGTTGACTGATTTCCAAAGTCAATGGCCAGTGTCCCTGAATCCTACTGAAAAGTTTTAGCAATTCTTAAATTGTTTTGTCTTCGCTATCCCCATATGACTCTCTGTAGTTAAGGTTTCCATCGGTTCACAACAGAGTCCCTGAAATGGAACGAAGGCCTGTCACCTTTAGCCTTTGACAGACTCTCCACAATGACAGTAGACTCGGATTTTCTACAGGGATGCCTTTACAGGGTTTCTCCTAGCTAAAAAACATTCAATACTATTTTTTAAACCATATTAATGTCTCTTGACCCCTTTTTCTCTTCTAATTTTATCGTAACTGACACTTTAAAGGCAATTACTGGGTCCTTTCTATGTAATAGTATCTATTACAAAACGATTGACCCTCTGTCTTTCTATCTTACATAAAATACTAAGTGTTCATATTCTTCCTCCTAAATGAGAACAGGGACTTTAAACACATTGGTCAATTGATTAGATCATCCTGCCATTAGCAATCTGAAAGGCAATGTACCAAAAAAAAAAAAAAAAAAAATACAGGGATGGCTAGTGGGCTTACAAGTCCACTGGTCATGAGGAAAATGCAAAGTAAAGCTGTAGCAAAAATACCAGATTTATACCAGCTCAAACTAGAGTAACTAAAACTAAAATGGTGGAAACACAAAATGTTGGCATGTTGTTCTGGACCTGAAATGTTCACACACTGTTGGTGAGAAGCTGACTTAAGACAACTGCTTTGGAGAACTTCGTGTGTGTGTGTGTGTGTGTGTGTGTGTGTGTGTGTGTGTGTGTGTGTGTGTGTAATGAATCATATGAATCATACTTCTTCATTATGAGCCAACAATTGTACCCCTACTCATTTTCCAAAAAGAAAGTACATAAACACAAAAGGACTTTATATGAATATGATTAGTGGGGAAAGCTATTATTATTTTGCTAAACGGTCAAACCAAGCTGTCTTCTAAATTTGTAATGTTTACACTGACAGATCTCCCTACCTCTCAACCTTGGCCAGAAAAGTTTCCTTCTGTGGTGGGTGGCAGTCAATGCAGAGATTCAGAAGTGGTCAGCACGCTGAGAATAAATACCTAGTGCTCAAGACTAAATAAGACACCTCTCTCAACTCATCCATGCCCAGAAGGAGCAGGGGACATTGTAGAAGAGGGGTTGGAGAGAAGATAGGAATAGGAGGGGACAGAATGACAGCCATTTAATGCTATCTTCCAGTCAGGACATGCTGCTGTACTCAAGAATGCATGGCAGCCATGTTTACCTTCTCAAGATCAAACCATTCATACTAGCAGGCCTGGGGGAGGGGCCCCCGAGGCTCCACCCCATTGAGGAACCACTGACAGCTAATGGCTAAGGGAGGGAAAATTCTTCACCTTTAGGACTGTCCATGCTCCAGGGGACAGTCCCACACTTATGTGCATGCAGGTAACACTAACTCAGTGGGACATTTTACAAAACAAATAAGGACATGATGTTAGGAATAGAAATTCAGGGGATCCTGAGAAGAATTCACAGAGGGAAAAGGGGAATGGATACTATGAAAGTATGTTTTATATATGCTTGAGAGTCTTTAAAAAATAGCAATTGGTTTATTCATAATATCTCCAATTTGGAAATTGTCTTCAAGCTAAAACTAGAAGAATAGATTTTTTTAACAGGTATATTATAGTATGGAATATTTTCTTAGCTATTAATATAAAGAGACCCCTGGTACACACCAAAATCATAACAAATTAAAGATGACAAGAACAGAAGACTAGGTATATATGATATCATTTATATAAGGTCTGAAATGAAAAGAAATAATGTATGTATATAAGTACTTACTCCTAACCAAGAAGCTATCTAATTGATAACCACTTGTAAAGGAAAAATTCATTTTACTCAAAGGAGTCTCACTGAGTATATAAAACACACTTCAGGGCAGGTGGCATGCCTAACAGTAGATGCACAACACAAAATCAACTCAGGGTAATTTTGGACATTTATTGGGGGGGGGGGCTCATCTCATATTGCTTTGTTTGGCCATTGTTGAACCTTACTAGTATTTTGCTTGTATATGATCACCAATTTTGTGTTTTTATAGTGTGTGTGTGTGTGTGTGTGTGTGTGTATGTTGCAGCTTTCCTCGTTTTTATTTTGCCTGATCTTTAGAGAGAGAGAGGGGGGGGGCATGGGTAGGTGGGTAGTGAGGATGGATGATGGTCTAGGGGAGGAGGGGAAGGGAAACTGTGATCAGAATATAGTGTATGGAAATATTTATTTTCATAAAAAAGAAAAACAAATGGCATACAGGGAAAAAAACCAGAAAGTGATTTTTGAGCTGGTGTAAAAGGAATTAATTCAGAAGGAAAATAAGAATTTCCCATGGAAACAGAAATCTTTGCCATTTTATTTTGGGGATCGCTGTGTGGCTGCATGCAATTGCCAATAGTCACCAAAGTGAACAGTTAGCACCTGTGCCCTGTATTATGTCTTAATTATATTTCAATCAAAGAGAAACATGCAGGGTTGCAAAAGCAGAGGAGTATACGGGTCTGCAAAGATAACAAAGGGAAGAAATGGCTCGGAATCCCGAGGCCCAGTCATCCAGAGATCCTCATTTCCTGGACCTTGTAATTGGCTAATCTGAGCTCCACTATCATTCCTCTCCTTGGCACACCCTCTAGGAGCCATGCCAGGCAGCATGTGACAGCCCAAAGGCAGGAAGCCAGTGGAAAGAGCAAAGAGGCTGGACAAAGGGCTTCCGCATAGCCGAGAGCTGGCAGCTCTGCCTCTGCGGCTGCCAGGCCAGGGGTCAGGGCTGCTTCCAGAGGCAATGGTGGTGTTATCCGGGCTGCCAGTCCCGGCAAGACAACGAAGCAGGAAGCAGAAGGAAAATTGTTCAGGAGAGGAGGAGTGCAGGGCCCCAGGACTTAGCTCAGCTGGCGGACTGCATGACTAGCCAGCCATCAGCCCTGGGCTTCCACTTCCAGCACCATATGAACCGACCGAGG